AACCACTTCTGAAGATGCAAGCCACACGTGCTTGCGAAACGTCAAGAAGAAATTCTACCGAACGACGGCCTAAAAACCCGAAAAACCCACTTGTACTGAATTAAATGTTTCCATGTTCTAGAACATGCATCTGGTTAGTGAAGAAACCTCCTCTTCACTAGGAGGCTTGCTGTTATGTGGATATACACCGTCACCGCCGTCCACTGCGCCCCTACCTTCAAAGTTTCCAGGCAAGGAATTGATGATGAATAGTATAAGAAGTGCACCGAATCTGCCTTTGAGGACTCGTCTGAAAGACCTGAACCTGCCCGTAAAAACCTTGAGAAGTCGGTCTCCGGGCATTGCAAGCGGTTCGTTGCAAAAGCGGCAAGGAAGTGCCTTCGATATTGAGTTCGGCAGTACCTCTAACTCAAATCCACATATTTCTGAGTTTAAAGGACGGCCTGGAAATTCCAGAGAGCAAACTGGTGATATGGTGAGATTAATAAGGCAAATAAATAGTGGGGATTTGGAAATAATCTTTCTAGGAGAGAGTAACCGAAATTAAGAGCAGGCCTAAACCCAACTTGCTCATGGTGCCCAAAAGGATGAAGGACAATGTGATAAGAAGACATAAGTATTCCTCGACGGAAAGCATGACAACAAGTAGCAGTGGTGGAAGCATGGAAAGCATCAAGAGCAGTACCAGCGAGGGTAACAGAAGTACCAGTAGTTCTTCAAGCCGCCAATCTGCCTCACTAAGTAGCCATAGTTCAGACTCAGGGAGTAAGGCGCGTACACTGTTATTAAGCGAGAATGTAATTGTCGAAAATTGCAGCTGGCCGTCCAAAAAATTATCCTGCTACACAAAGCAATTTCCTCACTCAACAAGCTGGCAATAAACTTCATATTTTGAGTCCCATCTCGGACAAGTCGTCTCAGGAGCCGATTTCTGAGACTTCTGACAATAATCGAAATAATAATTCGCAAAAGGGCTCCCCAGAGGGCCACAACGATCCCGTACCAGAAATCAAAACGAACAAAAAAAGGTTGCCCCAAAACAAGAACCTTTTGAGCTTGAATTTTCATCGACCCGAAATTCAAGGCTCTGATAGTGGCATTTCAATTCAGAGTCGCGAAGGTGCCCAATTTCGAATTTAACTCGTCATTTAATATTAATTTCTGGGGTTGTTTCAGGTGTTAACAAGTCCCGTTACGCGCTGGTAACAACTGAGTTATCAGCTCCTCCTTCTAGACAAGATTTTTCTGATCTCCCTTTCGATATGCCCAAACTCAGAAGATGCAGACTAATTCCAGATACTGTGTGCACTTCTGGAAGCGCCACCTCGATAGACTTGAGAGATTTGCCTTTTGATATGCCTAAGCTGCGAAGGAGAATGAGATTACAAGCTGGAAACTTGGAAGATAGCGTATCACAAGCGTCATCAAGTCAAAGTGTTGTGGGAATAGAAAGAGGTCTGTAGGCGGTTTCGCTTTATAAGTGATGCACAAAAATTATTTTAGGACAATTGAGGCCTAAGCTCACGTTAAATTTAGGGGATGCTGGAAATCGGAAAAGGCCTGGATTGGGACTGACTTTAACAGGAATTGGAACAAATGAGGGTGCTTCGACCAGTACTCAGTGTAATACTTTGCATTTTTCATCTTGTGATAACATTGATACTGATCAACCATTGGAAAAACAAGGGTAATTTTCTGCTTTTCACTACCTAAGTTCTTTGTTAATTCGAGCTTGCTATTTCTAGCTGGTTTCACGGATCGATTACTAGAGTTGAGGCAGAAAATGTTTTGAGGACTTTGAGAGAAGGCAGCTTTTTGGTGCGAAACAGCGAGTCAATAAAAAATGATTATTCCTTATCATTAAAGTAGGTATTGAACAATTGTTGAAACAATTAAATAACAATTTGTTGCTTTTTGCAGAAGTGCCAGAGGCTTCATGCACATGAGGATACAGAAGAATAGCGAAAATGGTTGTTTTATTTTAGGTCAATTTAGTAAGCCCTTTTTATCCATTCCCGAAATGATAAAACACTTTTCAATGAATCGTTTGCCCATTAGAGGAGCCGAGCACATGTGCTTGTTACAGCCTGTAATAGCACAACTTTTGTGATAGGGATCATTCAGCGCTACGTTTAACTTACATGACTTGTCATGTTATTATATTTTTAGCAACAGATTGATACAGAGTTCCCACTGTGCTTTAGTACGTTTTAGCGAAATTTTAAAACTTCCGCATCTAAAACATATCACATCACTAGAAGTAATTTGGTTGAATGATTGGGTAAATTTAACTGTATAATAACTTGACAGCTTTTATTCGTTATGAATTCACGTTGACCCTTACTAAGAATATACGAAAAGTACAAATACCGAAAATCAAAATATGTAGCAAAGATCATCTGCAGAATTAAGCGCATGTTTGTTACTAAGGGTTGACTCTACGCTTCCACAAAACTGTACAGAATCAAAAAGCTTTCAAAATAATAATTACTATTCAGGAATCACGGGAAAGTGCCATAAGATGTCGTAATATTATAGCCAGTAGTAGTCTTAACAATTTCGTTTCAACTTTTTAATTGCTCACCTGTAATTAACGTAATATTTAAAAATCGTAGTCCTTAAAAAAGAACATTGTGCAATAATAATGATAATTTCATATTTTTACAGTATTATTTTGTTGAAGATCTCGTTTCTTATTGTTGATATTAATGATTTGTTTTTGAGATAATCTTTTTAAACTTATTGCCAAAGAACATGACTGTGAATATTTTACATACTTATATATTATATACATTTCAATGTTATATTAGATCCTAAGGGTTAGATGGTAGTTCAGAGTAAAGTCTTAGAATAAAAAGTAATCAATACTAAATCAGTCACAATTGGAATGATCTGGCTTAAACCATAGCATTAGTTCCCATTGTGGCCAGTTTATCATCTATTTTATCTAATTTGCTAATAATTGTAAATTTACCAACCATTTTAAATTATTAAAAATATTCCTATAGTTTTACAATGGCCAACCATTATCATTGTAATTATTAATGTAGCCCACTCATTTCTAGTATCACTTAGTTCTAGAAAAATTGTGATTAATGTGTTACAGAAATATGGGACTGAATAAAGAAAATATAAAGCATCGTGGCACAATTTCATTCTTCCCTTTCAATTGAACAGGTGAAAAATGATGTGATGTGAAATTTGGTCTACTTGGTGGAATATTTGGAATTTTGTACTTGTATTATCTGGGCAGGAATGTTGGTCCAGTCGCCATCAAATCGTATGGAATAGTTTGCGACTTCCAATGCAAATCTTGGCAGACGATTTAGGATAATCTAAAATGTCCTTGGCGCAAATGAATCGCATTGGCCAAATAATTTTAATAAACGCGACTGTATCTTTTTGCCAATTAAGACTAATGGATTTATATCAATTTACTGTTAATTCACGATAACGAACGAATGCGTTTAAATTATTATGTAAATTCCGATTTTAACTGTGCTGGACCGTTTATCTGTGGCTCCTGTACAGGGTGTTTCAAATGAAACGAACGGTGTTCCCCAAAACCTCCAGAAGTTCCTCGATTGGTAGGGATCGCAACTGGGATAATGAAGAATTGAAACACCCCTGGATATTGTCAGAAACAACGCGAAATAAGAACATGTAGGGTGGTGTGGAAGAAGTGTTTTCTGGTCACCACTGACTCAGTCAATGTGAGGTTTCAGTTGGTGACCATCTTCATCTTTATTGGCTGAGAAGCACGTCTAGGTTGCAGACGTGATGTCAGTGATGTCCCGATGGGTCAACATCATCCCATTTAAAATGTGCAAGAGGAAGAGATAGAGTGGGACGCTTTTTTAAATTGCGGTGCAGCAAGGCCCCCCTCCGACTTGACCACGCCAAGATACAAGTTTAGATCGGACAGCGGCACCAGAGAAACGGACAGAACGAAAACGTCGCGTTGTACAGTTCCGTGAAGTCACTCGGTATTCGGTATTGTAGGCGTTTCGGTGCTTCGTGCTTTAACTACAGGTGTTATTCGGTACGATGACCGTTGACCCTCGAGGGGGTCACTTTGCGACATGTCCTCCCCATGGCAGGAGGGCTGTCTAGCCCGGTGTCAGGACTGCGCTAACGCTTGTCCCCATTTTCCCGGGCTTTCGCACGAAGAACCATACAAAAGGTACCGTACCAAGGAAAAGAATCGCTCTGCCGGTAGACAATGCGTCTTCCTTCACTGTTGCCATATTTGTTTCTATCTACCATTTCGAAAAGTTCTTGGTCTATATTCAACGACCTTTCACTAATGCATCTGCTTTCGTTGCACGAGACACTAGATTTAAATATCCTTTATGCTACTATCGTAAATTGATTCTGCTAAACCATACGCTCCTTCTACCTTATCAGATTTGGCTCTTGCGTCCCACTAAGCGCTTGAAAGAAATCTTGAATTATTACTACATTTACCTAACTTCTTTCTTACTTCCTTCTATTCGCTGTTTAGTGCTCTTCGAGACAGTTCAAACAACTAAAAGTCATAATGCTGAGCAATCGGTTTTTGAGTAGAAATACGTCTAAAAATACACCGGCCATCACAATTAAATTAGCAACACTAAATGTTTGTTTACGTGGAAAACGGCTGAACAAAGCAGGATCCACTTCATATGCAATATGCAATTTTGTCGTATTGATAAATTTGTGCCTCTGCGTTCATAGCAAGTTCCTCGTTTTGCTTGTGCTAAACTAACATAACTAATTTCGCATCACTGTGTATATTCTCAAAAGAACAATTTTGGCAGTAATAATGTACTTATCTATCAATTGAAGTGAACCCCAGACAAATCTCATAGGATTGGCACTTTTATGTAAGATCAATA